AAAAGCCAAAATACGACCAGACCACCGATTTGGTCCTCTTAGATGGCTGAAAAATCACCTGAGCGCTGTCACTGCCTTCTGCCATTTCGTCTCGTGCAAAAAAAACAAAAAAACAACAACATTGCATGCTGCTTCTGCGTCAGACTGATGCTGGCTGGACAGGATTTACCGCGAGTTTTCAAAATCGTGATAATTAAATACGGTTTTGCTGATAATTAAATTTTAAACGATAGTACTAACCGTCAGGGCATTTTATCGTGATTTATCGTGAAACCGGTAATCGTTCCATCCCTAGTATATACTGTCTATACATTATCCTGTCCTAGATTACCTTTCTTTGTTCTTTAATGCACCATTAAAAATGCACCAGCTTACAAGTGATCTTACAAATCTGTACATTAAAGTATCAAATACAGTATAATACAATTTATTGATAGCACATGGTAAACACAAAATTGCTCTTTCAAACTATTTGAAAACAGAAAATATGCACCATCCATTGATCTATCAGTAGATTTTTGAATAAAGCAAGAATAACTAACACTTCTGTTCATTTACCAAGAAGACAAAAATACTAAAATATGGAGCAATTAATCTCCCCGGTATTACATATAGGCTAAAATCTATTACAAATTAAAATACACAGAGGACCTGAAATTCTTCACTGCCGTCTTTGAAGATGACACAAAGTTCTTGTTACATTTCTCTTTTTCTAAAATGTTATCAGTGCGATTATGAACTGTTATGACTGAGGTATTTATTAATACTTTTATTCTGTTACTCTCTTTCTTACCCCTCTCAGGTATTTTAGAGACGAAGAGGCTGGACATTGTCCACACACAAGGTCCCATCCCGCAGTCACTCAGTGGAGTTACATACTATGCAGCCGATCTACCCATATGGTGGCAAGTGCCTCAGTACGTCCTCATCGGTGTCAGCGAAATCTTTGCTAGTATTGCAGGTAGGTGGCCCTTTGGAAAACACTGCTGAACACGCATACAAAGCTCTCAACTTCACAAACAGAGCATATGAAGCGACCATGTTCTGAATTTTTGTTGCATTTTTTTGTAATTAATACATTTTTTTAAGGTTTCTTGCACCAAAAATATTGCACTAAATTTATTGTATAAAATGTTTGCTTCTGTACTTTTAAGACTGCTGTATATAAATGACCACTGTTATGATTAACCAACCTCTTCACATTTGATCCAGAAATCTGAATATGATTAGGTGTTGATATGTACAATAGACATGGACTGTCAAACCTTATTGTGTTCATGGTTGTGGTGTCAGTACAATTTCTGAATGTCTAATTTTTGCAGCAGCATGTGAACATAATTCACTGGTGTATTAAAATTGATGTTTTCCATGAAATGGCCCTTTTAACATTTAGTGGTTCATGAGGTGATACTGAGCCTGGAAAGACATTTGAGAGGCAATGATCATGATGAGAAACACCTACAGCACATTTGTGCTAATATTTTGATGGTAGAATTTAGTTTCTCATCAACTAAGATCCATGTAATGAATAACTCATATGGATGAGTAAACGTACAGCATTGTTTTAACATGAGTGTCCTTTCAGCTCTCGGTCTCTTCTGTGTACTGTAGAGTTTTGTTTTGTTTTTTTCCATAGGATCATTCATCTGTCCTAATGACCATGCTAATCAATGCGTGTCCTTTTAAAAACTGCAGTAAACTCCTCTCTGCCTTGCCTTTGTGTAGTAGCTCTTGTCTGAGCCATTGCTGAAATTGCTTGCTAAGGAATCCATGGCTGTATCAATCACGACCGATCGATCTGGGCTTGGCGATACATTACTGCAGTTGCGCAGTTAAGACGGCCAGGGAAAACATCCCGCTCCTGCTGGAATACACTAAGAAAATATCAAGAAAGTCTCAAGCAAGTGGGCTTGAGATTAATGAGAAAATAGATGAAAGGAAACTAAATCCCTTAACACAGCGTTTGTAAGAAAAAAACTGTGTGGACCTCCTATTACCACCTTCACTGCTGAGATCTACAGTAATTACAGCAATTTCTGTCATGATGAGAATCTTAAAGAATTTAATTCCACTTAATAAATCTGGTTTCTTAATGATTCCATCAAGAATTAGATTTTGTACTTTTGAGGTAGGACCACATAATTGCTAATTATAATAAATATTATAGTTCATTAGTCTTGTTCCAAACTCATGCCATTTGCTGCGATAGCATTTACACTGATTTCAGTATCTCAAACCTTTGAAATATAGTTATGCTAGTTTTTGTATAGTTTATTTATTATTATTTTTTTAGTTGTTTATGACTTTGTGGTTCAGTGAGTGTGTCAGATGTTCATTCTGTAATATTCAGTGAGTGGCTGAGTGATCCGTTTAAGGCTGATGAGTTTAAGATTCATTAGTGAGTCATTTTGACTAGTTTGTTAAAAAGAACCAGTTCAGAAGAGTCATCAATTAATGAATCAAGCTACACTGGTCGCACTGTATGTTTGCTGTTGTTGTTAAAATTATGGTTAAAGGTTGTCGAATCCCAGCTCAGTTCCCTTATTCTGGTCGTTTTCTAGAGGTTTACAGGATACAGTTATGGATGGCACTTGTCTTATTTGTGTTCGCTGTATCAGCTTTATATTTACCGCTGGTTATGTGCGCACCTGTCTGTCGTCCATACACATTTTCACACAGGTTAGCATGATCTTTTCTGCCCAAACACAGCTGTGTTCATTTCGACCCTTCAGCTTCTCTTCCAAGGTCATGACACACACCACACCGGTAATTTCACACCCATTTCACGCACAGAGTAAATCAAAGGCTGCACGTCCCCCCTTTTAGCCTTTATGAGCCAACAAGACTAATAAGTAGCATTTGGCAAAGGCAGGGAAAAACACTCTCTCTTCATGCTGAATTGTAGAGAGCACAGTGCTGATTACTGGATTTCTTTTCTACCCCCTTAGAAGAGGTGTTTCAAATCAGATTTTCGCCCATGGCTTATGCTCCTTCAAATAACGGGATGTTTTTTTTAGTCGGGACAATCCTGCAAGGACATTCAAGGTCTTTGATAGAACTATGGAACTATGGAACTATGGAAGTGGCAGCTTTCATTTTTGAAACCTCATTGCAAAGAGAATGAAAATTCAATGTGGAAAATTTTGAGAGAGGAGTACCAGAAAATTCAGAAGTGGTTAAAGGAAAAACAGAAGGAGGAAAAGTAGAGATACATTTACAAGTGTGATCAGTCTTGGAACTGAAGAAATCAAGAAACTTATTACAGAGGTGAGTTGAAGCAGAAACATTTGAATAACTTACATTTGAGTAGTTTGTTGATAGAATTAAACAATTGTCTAGGGTTATTCTGATTGTTGTCAATGATTTGTGCAAAATAAGCAGACCTAGCCGATACAATTTGAGTCTTATATTCAAGTAAGTGGTCTTTTCAGGCCTGGTGATGGACAGTCAAGCCAGATGTACACTACCTACAATCCATTGTACAACACGATGCCTTCATTGCACGCAGATTATCATTATACCAAGTAGAATGGTATAATGATCAAATGGAGATCAAATGGAGAAAAAACTACTTAAAGAAGAGCCAATAAATTCAGAGAAATCAGAGGGTTCAGTAGATCTCCATTTGCGATAGTTAATAATGCAAGAAGAGGTAGTGTTTATGTCGGGCAGTTCCATATTAAAAAAGACTGCCAGATGATCAGACTGTTCTAAATCAGAGGTGGACAACTGAGACACAAATTAGGCATTTAGGATCACTAAGTCAAGAGTGTGACCTTTATTATGTGTAGGACAGTCCACGAGCTGGTTCAATTCAAAGCACTCCAATAAAGATAAAAATTGTAGAATATTTTATATCCATATGGATGTTAAATTTCAAGCACAACAAGGACAACATATCTGCAAATTCAGATAAGACATATTTATCTTAGGTGGCCTGTAGACTGTAGCTATGGCAGTGGACAAGAGGCAGACACAGATGTTTAGTTTGTCATTATACAGCACAATGATACCCCCACCTCTACCAGAGGGTCGCGGGAGATCAAATAATCCATATCCAGCAGGAGTAAGTTCATGAAAAAGTAGACCATCTGACTCTTTGTGCCAGGTTTCCGTTAAACACACTAGGTCCAATTTTCCTTCTATGATAATGTCAGATTATATCACAGCCTTGTTGTTGAAATAGTTTGCATTGAAAAGCGCTGATTTCAATAGACAAGAAGGAGCAGATGAAACCAAAGCAACCTGCTCATGCTTAAGAGCCGACAAGTTGTTAAAATTAACCCTCATAGGCCTAGAGAGCAGCTTATGGTGTGTGGAGTATGTTCAACGAGAGTGATGAAAGGCTGTAAAGACAGGTTTTGCGGAAAGCCCTTATATGGAGATGGTTTGGGAGTGTTTTATGCAAATGACTAACCTGCAAATGACATGGCCACTCATTTCAAATACTCCAAGTTCATTAACATTAGGACGAGGTTAAGAACAAATTCATGTGTGTTCGCAGGTGTTGTGAATTAGACTGTAAGTTTTCTTGAGAAGTTCAATTGTGCGAATATATACAAATAATCTATGCAATTATTAGTGAATGAGACCCATTGTCTAATTATTTTTATCAAAATCCCTGAAAATGTCAAGATATTTTTTCGATACTGCACACCCTTTGTGTTCAGTATTAATTTTTTATTTCTTCAGGTCTTAAAATGGTCCTAAAAAGCCTTAAATTGAATTAAAAAATGTGCAGGAACCCTGTACAATATCTTTAACGGTAAAATAGGAAAAAATACAAGAAACAGAACTGAGCTGACCAGCAATACAACCACAAATGAAAAGACCAATGTTATTGTAAGGTTGTTGTAAGTTACACCACATGAAACAATATGAATCCATCATGAGTACATAGAGTACATTTCAAAGAACTTGGCACTGGAACATGAACTAGATTTTTCTAGACTTTCTTTTTTGGACACTCTTATTTGTCATTGACCAGGTTGCCAGTGCCAAACACGGTCTGTGTTAATGTAGCCTAAATTTAAATACATGCCTGTTTAAATACACACCTCTCCTTTTGAGACTCTTGTTCTTAGAAACATTTTTCCCCTCAATGCACACATTTCATGTATATGATTCTTAACCAGAAACATACTGGCACACAAAGTTAAATAGCAGCATTCTACCCTCTTTTTGTTAACACAGCAGTCCACTCCAAAAGAAACAAGCAACACTTTTGTTTTCCCTCTCTCTTTCTTTTACTTTCTTGTGGGGATAGTGGCTGTCCCTAACAGTTAACATCTTCATTTCATTTTTTATCTGCGGACCCAGAAAAAATTGAAAGAAAAGAGGCACAGCGCTGGTGGAATAATATGTGTCCACAGTGGACGTAGCGGCCTCTGATTGAATTTCCAGCAGAATGGGGAGATGGGGAAGGCTAAGTGTAATCTTCCGCTCCTCCATCACGTCTTCAGGGGTTCGAGTATTGTGGAAAGCTATAAGACGTTATCTGCACAGGCACTTTTTAAACCTGAAGAGAGCCATCAAGCTATGATAATCAATACAAGAGGCAGCCCGCCGCTTCCTGATCACAGACAGCTGTGAAATGATAGAGAAATTGGAGAGGTGCGAAGACTGCCTCAAAAATATTAAGATTAAAGCCGCCGAATAGCATGCCACCCTCTGAAATGAAGATAAATTTTGCCTTTCTCATTTTCTTGAATAAT